TGTTCTTCTCGGTTGTTGGAGAAGATGAACGGCGGAGAAATCCGGTGAGACGAGCGGCAGAGAGATCCCATCCTTGTTGGAGAAGATGAACGGCGGCTGCCTCGGTTGTTGTGACTCAATTTCGATGATGCTTCCATTGCTCTTCTTAGTTCTATGTCTTTCGAGATCGGAGGCGGTGGTGCGGAAATCGGTTTTGGGTAATCCTGATTGGTTGTTTCGAGATCGTGTCGAGCTTCCATGGTGTTGATGGAGATTGCGATTTTTTGTGTGTGTGTGCGTAAAACAGATAGCTGCGGGAGAGGAGATCACTCGAGACTATGGATGCAGACCGATAACATCCGGACAAGAGAATGAGCATCCATACCATTGTAAAGCTATAAATTGCAGAGGTCGTTTCTATTAATTAGAATTTTCATTCTAGGTTACATTCTTTGCAGATTTGTTTCAATAAGTTCCTTGAAAGCTTTTTACATTTTCCCATTGAATCTTAGACAGCTTTATACTACTTTAATTCTGCAAGTTTTATTTCAGTATTCATAATCCTTCAAATCTTGATTTCTCCTTTCTGAATTGTGAAGAACCAAAATGGAAGTCCATAGCCAAAGATTACAGTTGCAGTAATCCCTGATATCATTAAGAAACCTAATCAAAGTTTTGAAAGTTGAAACCTTTTTTTTTTAAAATATCAAATGTTTGATATCAAAAGTTCCAATCATCTGTTTGATTCTTGTCGATTTAGATATTCTTTTGCAACTAATCAGATTAACAACAGAAGCGAGTGTGTACAGAGGAAACTAAAAGTACCAATCTGCAACAATGAAGAAACATAAATGGTGAATTTTTCACATAATGTGTAGAGAGAGAGAATAGAAGATGGAAAAAAAAAGATTGTTTTTTTTTTGTTTGTTTTGTGAATACCAGGATCATTAAGCTGGACAGATGCAGAATAAACAAACAATAACGCCATTAAAAAAGAGCAAACCTTAAAAAGATTTCTTAGTTTTTCCATTTGTTCTTTTAAATTTTGGAGATCAAAACAAGATCGCTTGTGGAAATCGATCTCACGG